ATGTCATAATGTATTTCAATACGACAACCAATAATTGGGTTAAACCCGAAACACACGGCCTCCGACCCAACGGACGGCGGAGTCACTCATCGTTTGTCTATAACGACAACATCTATGTGTTCGGCGGTTATAATGGCGTCGAACGCATTCATTACAACGATCTCTACAAATACGACCCAAAGACACTTCTCTGGTCACTCGTGGAAGTGCACGGCCGACGGCGACCGTGCGCTCGGCGGCGACAGTGTTGTTGTGTTGTCGGCGATAAACTCTATTTGTTTGGCGGCACGAGGTATGGCACCACTCCATCACTCATTGATTTGTTTTGTATGTTTAATCTTACGATACTATCACCCGAACAGTCCGTTTATTCTTCAGCACCACTCCATTGAAAGTTTATCTCCGGCTGCACTCGAATACTATTCACAAATAGATTTGGGACTTCGGGATCACTCGGACCTCTATATCCTAGACTTCAGTGAGTATTAACCGATTAAAAGTACTAATTATTTAGTAATTAACTTATAACTACTGCTCCGAGTTTGGCACCAAAATCTTAATTATACTCACATTTTTGGCACTAAATTTATTGCATTTAACTTTGAAAAAAACTTATAACTATTAGATCTATAGAGATAATGATGAATGTGAAATTGAAACTTAAATTACAACAGTAATAGTACTGTATTAGTGTTATAAAGGATTTATTATGCATAAGATGATGAAATTGTTACACCATTGATGCAATAAATAAGTTTGTATTGAATTATTTCTAAAAACTTTTCTCTCTGATTCAAACCCCACACCTCCTGTGCGAACATTAGAGCCCTCATTGAAAACGCTGAGCATTTTGGTGGCCATCGAGAAAGACCTGAATAAGACGGTTCTGCCTAAGAATATACAGATGGAGATTGATTTGATGACACGCGACAACTCCATCACCAGAATCGCACCCAACGTGGGCTGAGTTTCACTTCCCAGTGACAGCACCGGCCGCTCAGTTACCGCAAACTCCCGGCGCTTATATACTGTATATGTTTTGCAAAAAGTGTATTTTTCTCGACTCCATTAATTGACTTATGAACTGATTATTAAGTTTTTAATTTAAATTATTTATTTTGTGAATTGAGTTATATTTTGAGACAACAATTATTGATTGTTTTCTCTGTTTTTGTGTATTTTATGTTTTTATTGGACTTTTACTTGTATTTAAACTGATTTTGACGTGATTTCAAAAATCCACTTTTTTTGTTTCGTGTCTTTTTAATTAATATTAAAAACAAAAAATTATATTTTGGGACAAAACATATGCCAAACAACAAATGCTGATTCAATTCTCTTAATATTTAATAGTAGTTAAGCTGTGATTTATATTATAATAAACAAAAACAATACAAATATTTAAGAAAATATATAGTTTTGAATAAGAAATTTAATTTTTAGCCCATATATTGTAACAAAACAATACAATTAGCTATTATTTGTATACAATTATTGTATGTCTTATGTATTATTTGACAATTATCTCAGAGAATCCTCGGCTCCCACCTCTCCTCCGGAGCCTACTTCTCATAGCCAGGCCTCGGGTCCGTGTTTATCCTTGATTACGGTAAACTTGTCCA